AGCGAGGGGGTGCGGGGGAGGAGGGGGGTGCCCACCGAGGGGCTCCTCCTGCGGGCGCCCCCGTCACCGCTGGCCTGCTGAAGCTTCCTTCCACAGTGAAGAACAGTTGGAAGCATCTAGGGGAAGCAGACAAGAATTTACAAAAGAACAGCAACTCTACAGAAAAAGTTCAATTTCCAAAACACAGCTATAGCCAAAGCAGGGAGCGATGCATATGAGAGAGCAGCCTTCCTGAGCTCCCCTAACATGTGAGTCAGGTTGCACTAATTGAACATTAGTCCCGGGACCCTCGCGTGTTTGACTACCATTTGAAAACCTACACTGTTTCTATGCAAATCACACTACCATTTTAAAACTACATCAAACCAGGCTGGATCTGTACTATTGAGTCTTTTCTGACATTGTCAGGTTGTCATCTTCTGCCCTCCTTTCTATTTTAAGCAGTGGTGCAACGAGCGCCCTTTCATTAACTTCAACACATATGATTTGTCTTTACTTTTAAGACCCTTTATGTCACATCTTAATCCTAGCCGGCCTCGTGATTCCTCTTTGCCAGGCTATTAACACTGGTCTTTATTTCCCATACTTCTCATTCTCTAGTTGTATTCTATTCATCGCGCTCAGATGTGACGAGAGTTAGAACTGCCACACATATATGGGTGACTTATTTTCTCATCCCTTGTACTTAGTTATTCCACTCCAAGAGGGGGTTTGGATTTTAAAAACCCCAGGTACGCATGCATTGCTCTATGCTAGCTCATAAAAGACCACATCAAGGAAATCCATGTTGCAGTTAGAAAGGAAGGAGGAAAGATTTGTGGCTATCCTTAGTTCTGAGTGAAGGTGGATCCACAGAGGTTTATTTTATCAAGTACTAGGGGATCAATGCTGTGTCTTTATCACAGGGATTTTATTTACGCTCTGACCACCCTTCACACCTGGAATTTAAATAGCCTACTAGAAACCAGTAGGGGTACCAGGAATGGGTTTAATGTGCTCTTGCAAACGGGTCAACAGCGGACTGGAAACAGCGATAGACATTAGTGATCGACAAGGTAGAGTATGGTGCTTCTGAAGACTCACCGCCGAGGAATCCAGAGCTCGGGCTGCCGTTGTCCAGCTCCCAGGCTGTCTCAGTGGCAGAGGCAATACAAAGAGCTATGCATCATCTGAACGTTGCTGTCATCTGACCAATTGCCACAGCCATGGTATGTAGATGTTGAAAGGTTCACCTTCACCTCTCCCAGGCAAAGACATATTATCTGGCTGAAAATATCTGGTTGAGGGGATCCTTCAGCAAGACTTCTACCATGCATTGGTCCAACTTTTTTTCTTGTGCAACTTTTTGCTTCTTTCACCTTGTGCAGGAAAAGTTCCCTAAAATACTTATTTTTCCTCCTGCAAATTCCTACATTAAGTACCTGCCCATCTACAAAATCCTTGTCAGTAATTAAGTAGCTTGTATGTTACAACCTATGCTTGGTATGATAATTACCCTACTGTTAGTTCTCCCTGTTGACTGTGTTCATCTATCATCCATTACCATTAGCTTGGATCGAATACAATTTGGAGTGGTATGAAGTGCCTCACACAGTGAAGAACCAGCATTTTGAAGGACCTGCAGGTGCTTCCACAAGGTAAATAGCTAATAATATCATTACTATGCATTTTTCAAGTTTTCTGATATATTCAGCAAAGTTTATCGCTCCTTTCTCAATACCAGTAAGCAATCTCTGACATATTAAAGAACTATTTGCCTATGTCTGAGAGTCTACAGACAAAATCCTTGAGACCATCCTTATGGTTCAGGGGCTGGAAGGAGGGAATCTCTAGTTGTGCTTCTGAGATAAAACTGAGCCATTCGGGCAAGTAAAGACCACCAGTACTTAAAAGAAGGCATGCTCAGTCACCTTCTGTTACAGTCTACCCTTAACATGGTTTCCAAGTGTGGGCCAGCAAAAGGCACACAGTCATCACCACTTTCTCATTCCATTAGTCAAATGCTCCTTTTACATACAGAAGTATAGTGTAAAATACAAGAAGAAAATAACGATATGGCTGCAACTTCAGCTTGATTTTTTCCTCTGGTTGGTTTAACAATTAAAAATACTCTTTATATTTTAATAAATGGCCTAATATGTCTGTCAGGCGGTGTCATTAAAATATTTTTTTAATCTCAATTAAAATGTGAGTATCAGTATGTTCCCATAGAAACTTCATTTAATGCAACCTAAAGGAAGTTTGTTTTGTGGAAAAAAATTATGACTGACCATTGTGGTGGCCTGTAATAAGTTTATAATGTCTTCCCACTCTCAGGCTCCCTAGGAGGGGAAATCAGAATAGCACATATTGGCAGATGGGAGCATAAATCTGGCTAGGAAGATGGTTTAACCCTGGCTGGCAACTCCACCCCACGCAGCCGCTTGCTCACTCCCCACCAGTGGGATGGGGAGAGAATCGGAAAAGTGAGAAAACTCATGGATTGAGATAAAGACAGTTTAATAGGGAAAGCAAAAGTTGCACATGCAAGCAAAGCAAAGCAAGGAATTAATTCGTTGCTTCCCATGGGCAGGCAGGGGTTCAGCCATCTCCAGGAAAGCAGAGCTCCATCACGTGTCATGGTGACTTGGGAAGACAAACGCCATCGTTCCAAACGTCCCCCCCTTCCTTCTCCTTCCCCCAGCTTTATGTGCTGGACATGACATCATATGGTCTGGGATGTCCCTTTGGCCAGTTGGGGTCAGCTGTCCTGGCTGTCCCCCCTCCCAGCTCCTTGTGCCCCCCCAGCCTCCTTGCTGGTGTGGGGGGAACAAAAACATCCCTGTGGTATCAACGCTGTTTCAGCACAAATCCAAACCATAGCCCCATACCAGCTATTGTGAAGAAAACTAACTCTACCCCAGCCAAAACCAGCACAGAAGAGAACACAAGTGAGAAGCACCTTGAGTCAGTCTTCTCCAAAGATGATCCTCAAAAACTCAAGCAAAGGTAAAAGTTGAGCTGTTCCCTCTCTGTGGAAAAAACTAATAAAATAGAGCAGCAATAACTGCACTCACTCTTCTTCAGTTTTATGCCTCCCAGGGCACAGAGAATCAGACAGGTAAGTTGTAATTTTGCACCTCTGCACCAGCTGCACTTAACTGGTCTGATTTTTACCTGTCACTAATAACACCACAGAGAATTAAAATGAAAGAACTATTAAGAGCCTAATGTATTTTTCATATGTAGGTTGTTTGCATTTCTAATGCTTATTTTGAAGCCTTGCATGAAGTGAAAAGTGGAGGTGATAATTCATTACCATGCAAAATCTAAAAGTACAATTTTATGAAAAAAACCTGGGGTTTTTTGGAGATAGAGAACTTAACGCACAAGGTAACTAATTTTAGTGAGGAGGTTCTTTGAAGAATGTTGCAAACAGTCCAAAAAGAATCACACAGATTTCCAAAATA